GAATTCACGGTCCAGACGCCGGGGAGCTATCAATTACAGAAATCCTCGCTAATATCTGATTTCTAGCGTTTACCTCTAGGCCACGTGAATAACCGCTCGCACAGTGCATATAAATATAATATTTGAATCCTTTGAGACACGCTCTACACTCCCTTTTTTTCTCTGCAGCGGCTAATTATTGGATATATTCTTTTAGCTGACATCTGTTGGTTTTTTTTTCGTTTTCCCTTCTACACTTATTTGTTTCTTTTCGGACGGCATGCACCACCGGCACCGCATGCACACGCTTTCCTATTCACACACACTACGCGTACATACAGCATCATTCGATGCCGGATTTAAGTCTTAGAAGACCAGGGTGCAATTGGAGGTTAGGAAAAAAATGTTTGAAAAATTGATTGACATCCGTGTAGGAATTTACATCAAAGCCAAAATTTCAATGAATTAAACGAGTACGGATCATCGATACGTTCTAAGACGTTTTCTCGAAGAACTTTTATTTTTCTCCAACCGATGTTTAATATTTGATAGTTGAACGTTTTCGATGGGGTACAAACACAATTTTATGCCAATAAGAAAATCTACGGAACGCATCTGCAACGACACCCCCCTCCCCCCGAACCTTCGTCAAGTCCGGCACAACAGGATTATTATTACCGTCGCAGGTGTGCACAACAAATAGTCGCACGTGTTCGCACGTTCTTCACGTTCGAACCATCTGAATTGCGGCGTTGTAAATTTTGTCACGTGTCCAATCGGTGCACACCGACCGTGTCAGTACGCGATATAGCAATAATAATAATACAGCATTTACCGAAGATACCGTTTTTTACTTCTATTTTTGTTCACATTATTATTTTCAACATAGAGGTACACCTCTATTTATTCATTTATTTTTTTTTTCTCCACTCGCTGATTCATTATACGTGTTTGGCAAGTCCATTAAAGACCCGAACGAAATTATTCACCGGGCACGCCGGACGTGTTCGAGTACGTTCGTTCGTTCGCGCTCAGTGAAAGTTGTCAAAGAAGCCGCGTGACCCGACGCCGCGCCGAAGTCGCGCGGTACCGTGCGTACGCCAGTATAGGTATACGAGCCGCGGTCGTAGCAACACGCTCCGGTATCACCATTAAATTGGCCTCGTCATTGGCTATCGTTTTACCGCGCGCAATAACGCAACAATAATGGTCGCGCATTTGGTGGCGATGCAAACGTCTATCGCGAGTTACGTCCGTGCTCAGTGGGACACCTAGCGCATGTGCCGTTGATCGATCCGGTCCGTTGCGTGAGTTCAGGCGGAGCAGACGTGCGGCTTGCAAGCACGTTCCAGCTTCACCGACGCCATCCGGTTGAAACGTTTTCGACCGGACCGGGTTGGTTGGGGCACGGTGGGCCCGGTTCTCAGCGATCACGTGGTTTACAAGCAGTTTTAATGTAAATCGAGCGAAGCCGGAACGGTTTCCGTTCGGGGCAGTTGCGTGGTTTAAGCTAATCGGTCCCGGGTTTTAATGTAGATGTTCAAACCGCCACTGAGGTGCGGTGCAAGTACGAAGCGTGTAACCATTAGGTTCGCAGGACCGGATCGGTATCTTACCCATGGGCGTATTTCAGAGAGGGGTAGAGAAGGGGAGTTCACCCCCCCCCCTGAATCCGTATTTAAGGAATTGAGTATATGTGAGATACACATTTCAAATTTTTTTAATATGGATCATTTTATAACGAAATCATATTACGCGTGGCTGTGAATACTGAATTGGGCTTTTTGTCGAAATTTGTATTAAGGATTTGCCTCATTTAATTATTACTAAAAATTTTACTCGAAAATTTTAAACCTAAATTAAAGAATAAATTTGGACTCACCCCCCTCCCTCTAAAAGTAAGTCTAAATACGCCACTGATCTTACCCCGTGTTCAAAACCAACTGCGTCGTACAACGGACAACTGTTCGTTATGAACCGTCAACAATTGCCGATAAGACGACAACGCATTGTCTATTATAACAATTACAAAAATGTACCACTGCACTCTGAACATTTCGTCGTTTGTTTTTCTGTATTTATTTTATTACTTTTTAATTTTTTTTTCTTTTAAACATTCTTCGTAGAACGAACTCTCGTTACCACAATCGTTTAAAAATTATTTTTAAATTACTCGAAGCTTACGATTTTTCTCTGCGGTACGTTTGAAAAAAAAACAAGGATCAAAATTAAATTTATTTAAGTCTATAATTCGTGACAACACAAGTATCTTGCCCGTAGTATACATAATATGTATAATATCTATGCACACGAAAACATTACTGTTACACACAACAGATTATAATACAACTATTTTTCCTTTAACTCTTATCGATATGGTAATGATATGTTTTTCCTTCATTATACGTATTAATATTATTAACAATAACTGAACATTTAACAATTATTGGATTTATGGCACAACAATATTTATATGCTTATTACGAGTATGTACTAGTAAAATTTAAATTTATACTTCCACATATTAGGTATTAGCTCATAAAATATATACCATTATATACTTGTTGTGTTAAATACTCTCGTAATTTATTATAAGGATACGAGTATATGTATATTATTAATGAACTATAAACAAATCATTACGTACTTAGAAGTTTTAAATATCCTCTAAATATGTAAATTCAAAATTACATTGGTTTTTAAAACAAATATAATCATTTAGATTAATAATTTGAGTTACGGCTATTTATATTCTACTTCCATTATAATTATTTATGTTGCGCTAGAAATTTCGTTTTTCGTTCAAAAATCATGAGTTTGATAGTCCAGTTTTATGCAGTAATCATCAATATTTTTATACACATGTTTACATACATACATACATACATACGAGTATATATATATAACTATTGTAATACCTAATCTACTAAATTATGATTTAGAATACCTAATATTAAGTAAGGTGATTAATGAAAATAAAAAGTATTCATAATATAATAATAAACTATAAAAAAAATAGCTGTTTAATGTGTATCGTAATTAGTTGAAATTATTATACATGTAATTTTCTTTAATTTCTTAAAATATCTGACTCTAAAATATTATTTGCTATCGCTATACTGAAGTACTGCTTTAATAAGTATAATATTTTAATGACCTGAGATTTATCTTGATATCTAGATTAATCTACATGTATATAATATTTTTGTGTGTGTGTATGTACGTACATGTGTGTGCGTATGTACTATTTAATTATACAGTATTTAAAATGATATTTTATGCTTCAATAAAGTGAAATTATGTGTTAGTTATTATAATACTCTGAACGTAATAATAAATAATATGAAATATTTAAACAATAATGATAGTAATGAATAGTCTGTACTCCTATTAACTAAAAACTAAAAAAGATTATATTAACTAAATTATAAATAGCATATACTTGTTTAATCGTCAAATTATGTTTAATGAATGGAATTTTTGTATAGTATTTGTAAAGTTTTAAAATGACTGCTAAAAGTAAAAAAATTAACTATTTTTAATCATTCTTCTTTGAACATATATGTAGTGAAAACGGTTTTTTTTAAGAATAAGTGTTTTGATATGGATGTCAATTTGAAGTATCAATATGTTAAATATTTATTTTGTGTTTTATTGTATTTTAATGTTTGAAAAATAATAACAATTATTATTCAACATATAATTTATTATTCTACTATTTGAATTTATTTTAAAACTTCCAAATTATGTATTAAAACTGAGTTTGGGCTTAAATAGAAATTTTTAATTATGTGTGATTAAAATAACAAACAAAAATTAAAATCTGTGTGATCAACACATTTACATTCGTGAATTTAAATATAGGCCAGTGTAAAAGGTTGAAATCAAGTTTGAAATTTGCAATAAAATGATTAAAGATGGTCAAGTCAGTGAACCTGAAGGTTCATTAAAAATTTAATTTTATCTGTGGTTAGACATTTCTTCAAACCGCAAGGATCAAATTCGTATTCCATTGGGATAAAATCTATTTTTAATGCAATATCTATATTCAACATTATCTACTTATGACCATCTTCTATAATACTTCCACTGTAAATTTATATAAAACAAATTTTTTATCATTAATAATTATATGTATAATAAAAACATGTCTACTATTATATTTACTGCTTAAAATTAAGCAAATTATTAATGAATCAAAACAAATAAGATAGGTACCTAATTATACATAAGTTTAGTGTCTGTAAGTTAGCTTATTTTAATAATTCGATAAATATGAAAAATGTTAAACATTTATTTATTTTATCAATAATAGCTATGATTTATCATCCGAATTTGTATATATTATAGTTGTAATAAATTGGGATATAAGGTACTTAATTAATAAGTTCTATGATAAATTGAAAACAGTTTATTAGTATAGATTAAATGTCTACATTAAATTAAATAAGAACTTAATTTGCTTTCCAAAATCTTAAACTTTTTTTAATAGATTTTTTTAACGACTATTATTTGCTTAATAAAAGTGGATTATAGGATTTTTAATTTAGAAAATATACATATGTCGCGATAAATTTGAACAAAAATTACTACTAGTTGACATTATAACCAAATCATTAAACCGGTTTTATTAAAATGTTAAGCAGCAATATAATGTATGTACTATAATACCTGATATATTCATAATGATTTTACAAAGTTAAATTCTTGATCATATATGCTGACGATTTTTCATATCTTTATACGTCTACATTTTAAGTATATTACTATATACTTTTCAGATGTACTTTTTACAAAGTCGCTTTCCTATAAGATCTTGTATGATTAATTCATATTACTTGACCTTAACAATTGTTGATAATAAATAACAATGCATACATCCAAATAAAAATTGTTCAATTTGCTTCTATGTGCTTTTATGGACTAAGAAAAATGTAAATTGTATCATATTTTTCAAAACATATTGTCTATTTGATACCTAGAATTTTTAAGAGCTAGTAATTTTGTAATTAGGTACTTACCAATATCTTTGTGAGTCCACATTTGGCCATCAGCTACTACATCTGCATTAACGTTGGTTTCTAACATAATCATGTTAACCATGAATATACATAGCATCATCATTTTGCATACGATTTGACGGTATAACGACAATGGTCACAATAACAGAAGAAGAATAAGAAGAAGAAGAAGAAGAAGAAGAAGAAGACAAGGTATTTATTTAAAAACAAAACAATGATTCAACCAATTTTAATAATTGTTTGCTTATATAAAAATTTGATTGTTAAGTACACGGCACGTATTATCGTTTAAAAAAAATTCATAAATCGTGTGACATTCGCTTTGGAAAACCATACACAGGGCGCCATGTCATTATGAGGTTCACCGGCATTTTCGATTTTTTTCTCGCGCGCGTGCACACACACACATACTCTACTGAGCCACTTATTACCGGGCAATGATGAATATCTTCCATGCTCGCGTATGCCACACACTCATACACACGCTTGACGGGGGGGGGATAAAGCTTCGGGTAAACCTGCGGGGGGGACCCGTTTTCCTATGGTCTTCCAAGAAGGAGGGGAAAGTCGCTAGATTTGTGAATGAAATTGAATGTTTGACCGGTTACTGCAGGTAGACTCTCTTTCTCCACCACATTTCCTACAACGTCTGTATGTCTGTCTGTCCATCCACTTGTATCTTTCTCACTCTCACTCTCTCTCTCTCACTCTTTCGCTTTAAATCTTTTTGTATCGGACTGGTTTTGCAATACACATCCTCGTGTGTATTTTTTTTTATAGAAATTGAAATCGTTACTGGTGTATAAGATACTCACACATCCCTCCTCTTTATGATAACACGCATGCCAATTGTGTATACGTGAACGAGTGTGTATATGTGAATCTATTTGTCGGCTTATGACCTCTGCCCGATACTAAAACGGACACTGTTGGAAAGCAGAAACGTTTTTTATTTTACTTTGTAAAAAATAGTTCGTTACTTAGGAATGAGTTATAAATTATAACATGTATATATATGTATGTTTTCCCTTTGATGTCGAAAGACTAAAAACAAGTTAAAAATAATACTTATTTTTTAATTTTGATAATTTTTTAATTAACTTATATATTATCTTAGAATACATTTAGGAAAAGATTTATATACTGCACGGAATGTAAACATAAATATAAAGTAAATATTATCCAAAGTTTAATACGGAAAAGACTAAAAATGAATCCTCTAAATGGGTATTATTTATTATTTTGAATTCAAAATGAACGTATCTATATAGATAAATCCCAATTATATACTAGCTGACCCAGCAAACATTGTTCTGCTAAATAAATTATCAAATAAATTTAACGTAAGTATAAATCGAAAGTAAAATATTAAATTTGAAACTGAAAGTGTGCTCTTTTTGTGTATCGCAATTATATTCTAGAAAATTTTCGGGCTCGATTTCGGATGCAACGGCCAATTACTTCAAATACTATGACAGTGGACACAATTTATTCACCGTTGATGATAGATTTTATAGATTTTAATTAATTAATTATTTTTTATTTTATATATTACATTTTACAATTGCCTTTTCGTTACTGAATGTATGCTAAAAAAATAAAAGATCAGAAAAAATTTACTACTGTTAACATTGCCATGAAAAATTGTTATTTTCATTAGTTTATTTATTTCGAACAAAATTATCAATAGAAAATATGATAGTATATTTTTATTAAATCAATATGTCACCGGTATTTCGATAAAATATACTTGTGAAAATATGTCTAAAAAGGGTGAAACTTCTAGGTCAGGTAAAACACCATGCTCAGATGAGATACAGGTATTGGTGAATTGTATTGCTATATTGGACTTTTAAACTTAAAACTAATGTACTGTTGCTCTCGAAAAAACGATTCTATGTGAAAGAAGTGTTTTATTTCTTAATAAGGTTGATTGAACTTTTAAAGAAAAAATAAACCTATTTCAATTTAGGAAAGTCGGAAATGTTAAGCGTCAATAAATTATATAAACCTAATTAAAATAATTCAAAACTATGAAAGTTCCTTATCCAAATAACTATTATCGTTGAATGGAAATTCGTTAAATTATATGATTTCTTTACTTAAAAATAACTTGGGGTAGAACACGATTGCGTACGTTTGTCTTTTTTGGCAACATATGAGTAACAAAAAGGTGGTTAAGAAAAATAAATAAACACGATTGCGTATTAAATTGTATGCAACGTTGTCAAATTTACTAATTTCATCGGATTATATCTAATAATAAGATAAAATAAATACATATAATAGTTCTATAATAGTTCATAAAAAATAAATAAATAACATGTCGATATTTAAATAAAAGAAAAGTAATTAATAAATAAATAAAATCGATAGTTTATATTTGAATGAAATTATTGTTAATGAATTGTTTGAAAATGCTTGAACTTGGATTCCTTGACATCTATAACCTAATACTTTTACTGAAACTCGGAAAATACTGTATAATATAACGGAAACAACGAAATTTCATTATATCTGATATATTTGATATCATTAACAATTAACATAAATAATAAAAGTAATAAAACACAAAGTATTTAATTTTTCATGCATGCAATCGTGTAGTTAAAAATCAGGTATAATCGTACGGAATCGTGTAGCTTAAAAAGATATTGCCGGTAACGAACATATGCAATCGTGTTTAACCATAACGAACCATTCAAATTAAATTCAAATTATTTAAACAGTTTTACAAAAAATTGGTGGTACTCTAAGAAAAAGTAGTCAGTTGATTATTTAAAACATTTTATGTTAAAACATAAATACTATTACAGTTATACTTTATTGAAATAGTTTTTTTTTAATTTTATAGTAACTGATAAAGAACATAAGAATAAATATTATACTGTAGTCGGCAATCATGCAGTCATCTGGTTTTGCTGTTAAGACGCTTGTAAATTTTCAGTAATTTTAATCGTGCTGATCCAACAAACGGAATATTATTTTATTAATACTGATGGATAAATGTAAATAAACCGATCACGCAATGCAATTGAATGAATGATTAACATTTTTATTAATTTATTATCATTATTGTATTACCATTTAGGATTCTAAATGCACATGTTCAGAAAATGGTATAGTACCATTGCGTATCCAGAGTATTTTCCCGTTTTTTTTACCGTTGTCACATTATAAAAACTGTTAAAATTGTATTTTATCATAACTATACGACTAACGAAGAATTGAGTTTGAAAATATTCGTTTATTTTTTAACTCGATAAAAAACTGCCACACAAAATCGTTATTATAATAAATTCAATATAATCTTCATAATATTGTGACAGGTAATAAATATATATATATATATATAAATATCCAACCAATTCACATGATCCTATTTCCATAGTATCATGAACCATAGAATAATTTAAAAGTAGGTTTATTATAAATACTCGAAATTTAATAATATTAATAATATTAAAACGTCTTAGTCGGTTACATTCGAAGTTAATAATATTTTTTAGTAGCACGTGGTTGAGTCTAAATATAACGTGGATTTTAAATAATTTTTTTACACAGTTGACAAAAAAATCACTGTAATTTTTTATTGTTGGTTGTGTACATGTTGCATGTAATTTTAAATATTATAACCAGTAGGAAAAATGTAGTTGAAAATCGAATATGATAGTCCGCAAATGTTTACTAATAGTGGTCAATCGTTATTTTGTACGAAACTATTACGCAACCAATCAATTTCATTGGTCTGACCAAACATACCAATCAATTGGTTAATTGTAATGACTATTTTTTTTTTCGCATTTCATGACTGCCAGTATGTACTTATTAATAAGCTCGACCAAGGTCGTATCTGGATGAGGGGTCCAGGGTATCTGGACCCCCCGAAATTTCTTCAATATTTTACGAATGTTTAAAATAATTATTCATTTTTAATACCAACATAAATATTTTCAGTCAAAAATGACTTAAGCTCCAATTGACTGCTTTTAATTTTATATCATAATATCATATGAAAATATTATATTAATTTTAATAAAAGAAGATTAAATCTTTTTCTGTCTTATTTTTGACCAAATATTAAAAGTTAAAATCTAAATTCAATAAAATTATAATATACATGTTTTGGAACCCTCCCGAAAAAAATTTCTAGATACGGCCTTGAGCTCGAAAATCACAGGATTTCCATGTAATAATAACAAAAAATAAAAAATAGAAAAAGTATTAGAACGAACGAGATTAAAGTAAAATTATTGGGAGATTAGGAATCCCAGCGTCGCGAACGAAAGTACCGATACTACCAAGCCGAATATTGATCATAAACAAGGGGGGCTATTATTTTTGGTAAACAGAAAGATATAATGAAACAGTAAATGAGTGTGGGAATATTTAGTGTGATAAGTACAGTTGATTAGTCTTCTTGGGATGGTCAGTTTTGAGTAAAAAAGAAGCATATGAAAAAAATCTGTTTTGTGCTCTCCCTAGTTTTAACTGGTATTTCGTTAAATCAGGATGCCAAACTACCACACTCAAGTATTGCGTGCACAAGAGAGAAGTAAAATGTGCGAAGACAACTGACAGAGCTAAACATTCTCAATTACGTTTTATGAAGCCCACAGTTTCCGCTGATTCGGAGACGAAACGTTAATTTGGTGGTTAAAATCTAATGAAGGAGTGAAATATATATTGATATCCTTAATAATAAAAGGGGAGAGCCATTCATTCAATTCCTAAAATAAATTAGTAGCATCGAAGGAACTGAGCGTTTAAGTTTCCCTGCTAATTTTTCAGCAACCTAACCGACATGCAATGCAAGCATGATTGCGTTTACATTCTGTTCGATCAGTTATCGCTTAAGTCTCTATTTTGCGTACTATATAAGTATTTTTTTTTTAAATTGCGCAAAATATTCAATATTCTAATTGACTTTCAATATGCAAACCGATCGAAACACCGAATCCATTATAGAATTTTTAGAATTTTATGATACTGAAAGAGTCATATGTATTTATTTTTATATATTTAAATTCAGAAGATGGAATGTCTAAGCTACAGTTGTTTCAGTATCCTCCTTTGAACAAGTTCAAATATGAACTTAAATGTTGTAATTGAACAAAGTACACTTGCATAAAAAAATCTTAATATTATTAATTTAGAAAGATTGATTTAGAAACAAGATGGGTGTATCGGTACACGTGAATTAAAAAAATTTATAATGTTTTCTG